TGTGAAGAGGTGCAATTCAGGTAACACAAATGTAAATAGTTTGTTGCTCAGTGCAGCCCATGTGTCCATGCTGGTGATTCTTAGTGCTTTGGGATTGACAGAGATTACATAGCAGCCATCTTGCTGGCCTCTCGGACCCCGCTGAGGTAGGCTCCTGTCACAGTCTGAGGGAAGTGTCTGTTGGTGGCCTGAAATCAGAGACATCACAAGTGCAGGTGAAAATCAGGTTAAATGTCAGAATTATGTCTTCACAGTGACGTTTTGACAGCAAACATTTTGGATTGTCATAGCAGGAAAAGCAGAGGTGAGCTGGTTCCAGCGCACAGTTGTTGTGCATGCTGGTTCACTGGCAGGGCTTACTGTGATGAATGACGGAACTGATGGACTGTATTTTATATAGCGCTTTCTCACAGTGTGTTGCACTGGCCAAAGCGCTTAACAGAAGATCATACACCATTCACCCATTCACACACAACATTCACACACCGATGACGACAGGCTGCCATGCACCGGCACTAGTCAAGCCACCGGGAGCAATTCGGGGTTCAGTGTCTTGCTCAGGGACACTTAGGCATGCAGGGAGACCAGGAGTCGAACCACCAGCTTGCTGGTCAGGAGACGACTGCCCTACCTCATGAGCCACAGCCACCCCCAGGCTGAGGGGGGGGGGGGGAAACTCTGACCTGTGCTTTTCAAAATGTCTGACAAAGGTCTGTTAATAGGTCACAGCACTGACCCAGTGCTCAAATTATTTCAGACTCTTTGAGTAATAATATTTGACACCATCTCTCTTTATGCATAATGGTTTAACATTTGTGTATTTGAGAAAGTAGTGTTACCTCGCCAGCAAAGAAAACTTTCCCTTGCACGTCTTCAGCAAGGATGTCGTAGGCCTCTCCGCTGCCTCCTGTCTTCACAAAGCTGTAAGACATCTGGGACCACCTGTCTTTGCTCCAATGTGTGACAAAGAAGTGCAGCGGCTCTGGGACCTCCTGCCAAGGATGACAGGAAGGAACACACACACACAAATCACAAAACTATTAACATGGGTAACAGAAAGATTTGGTGTTCACAGCAAAAATGCTGTGTATTTCTGGAGGGTGTGCATTAATTTGATGTTCCCTAGTCCTTTCCCAACACAGGATTTTCTGTAGAAACCCAAGAGACTCGGGGCTTTGCTTGCATTTTTGTAGAGGAACTGGGATGAAAGCAGCAGTTGCTAGGTTGCAAAAGTCACCTCTACACTGGTTGTCATTTCTGATGGCCAGGGACTATTGGGGCAAAGTTTCTTTTCTCAATTTCAACATCAAAGACATGCAGCAGTAAATTACAAAAAAGACCAACTCGATGTCACAGAAGAAACTAGTGCCTACTGTTAGCTGTTTAATTACACCACCTGTTTACTTCCTGATTTAGCTCCTGAGTTTACTTACATCATTTCAGGGATTATTTGGTAAAAAAAAAACAAAAAAAAAACACTTAGATTGTCAAATGGTAATGCCGTCATGCTGTACTATTGCATTCATCAGCTATATTAAATAAAAGGGTCATTAGTGACCCAGAAACATTAGTGATTGGTCTTTATAGAGTGCGACAGCCATACCTGCTCCTTGAAAAGTTCACGTAGAACCTTCACACACTCGTCTACCACCTCCTTGTCTTCCATGACCCGGACAGCAGGTACAGCATCACCAGTGATAACTGACATGAGGACAGCCTGCTTTCCCTAAATATACATGCATGTGCATGTACACACACACACACACACACACACACACACACAGTGTTAAGCACAACGTTGTGAGGTCAAAGTGTAAAATTTGAAAAATTATTTAACTGTCCTTATATGTTTAGTATATTCCTGTGCCTTGCTACGAGTTCAGATGTATCCAAATGTCCTCCTACTTTATGTGGTTATCACACATCCATACACAGGACTCTTTGTGAGGTCTGTAATTTAAGACAACTAGTCTCAACTTCACTTCCATGGCAGGAATGTACGCCATTCAGTCAGAAGGGTATTTAATTATAAGTGCATAACAGCTGAGCAGTAAAATGACATTTGTGTCACCCTCGTCTTATGGGTGAAATAGGAGAGAAACCTGTGGATCCATGTCGTAGAAGACACTGAACATGCCTCTCTTGTCAGAACCTGGTGGGATGTGACCAAAGTAGTCTGCCCCTTGGATTTTGTTGTCCCAGAACCTGTATGGGAACTGAAGAGCAATCTGCGGAAAGATTTCATACCATATTTTATCAATTACAGTGAAGCTGCCTTATAATCAGTGGGACACTGTTGGTATTTTTCAATAACAAAAGTATCTGATTGAGCATTTGGCACACGTCAAACACTTATCACCTTTTCTATTATACCAGCTCCCAGACTGTGGATTGCTTTGAGTTTCTTTTCAGGAAGCGGAGGGTTGAACTGAATCAAGTTCTTCTGAAGTAAAGTCAATGGGACTGTAACAAGAACCTAAAAGAGGAAAGGATGTTAAAGTAAAACTGAAACACAACAGTCACAGAAATGGTATATTTTTACGGTAAAGTGCTGATATGGATGGTTAAGATCATACAGTATAGTGTCATGGTGAAGAGTCATTCCACTGGCACTTTGAACATTAATGTATTTTTACCTTCTGTGCTGTCCACTGGGACCCACTGGAGGAGGCAACTTTGACAAGATCACCTGAGTAGTCAATAGCCTGAACCTAAAAGTGC